TTATATTTATATATATATTATATAATATTTTGTATACTTATATACATATAAGTTATATACAATACAATATGTTAATTTAATGATATTAACTAAATTTTTCCAACACGGAAATCCTATACTCCCAAAACTTAGTATAACAAGTTAAGGTAGTTTTTATATATTTTTAAACATAAAAATAATATTTTTTTTTTAATTATTCAAAATTTACAAATTAGTTTACTAGAATATTCAACAGATAGAATAGGTACCTACCTATACCTGGGTAGCTGGATTAGTGATCTAAATTTTTAACCAAAACGTTAAAACGTATTTATAATATATATCTAATGATATATGATGTAATATATACCAAAATATAACCTTTTGGCATATATTTTCATGGGTTTTTCCGTGATTCTTATACTAGTCATATACCTAATTTTCCAGACATCTGCAACATTTCACACATTCTTAACTTTCCTATTATAGTTGCAAACAGTGTAAACCTATCGGACTATTCTTTCCTCTAATTAAAATATTGTTATTTTGCCCACAGTTATAACATCATGTTCTATCATACTGGCTTAAAATTTAAAATTTAATACCTACTGTTTTCTATCATACACCTACCTAGTTTACTAGTCTATAGTCGATTTGCCTTTATATGTATTAAAGTGTATTATTGTCAAGACTTATGGTAAAACCAAATTTATTAAATTAAAAATATACAGACTAACTTACTTAGGATGACGATTTGTATTATTTGTAGTTTGTTCAGCAAGGTCGTATCAAATTGGAAACGAGTTTACTATGATCCGGTTATGATCGTGCCGGTTTCGATAAATATTATATTATATTCGATACTTATTATTTAATCAGTTCCTAATATTCTATAATAAATAACTTCATTTGGTATCTTATAATAATATAATAATTTATATTTTATATATAATAGATATATGCACTAGGGGCTAAGCCAGTCGTCAGTGCGACGTATTTACGTTTGGATATGGGGCCATGGGGGATACCGGATAGATCCTAACCTAACCCTTCTTTGGTTTCTTATTTGTTACTAATTTATAATATTGTGATGTCGATGGTAAATGAACTACCCCTACCCTTATTAGGGAAATTAAGTATTTGCTAACATATATCCCCTCCTTGACAAAACCCTAAAGACGCCACTGGGCTAACCCCCCAAAAATATCCATAGCATCTCCAAATATTTCCTACATTTTGTTTTAATAGGTTAGAGGACGTGATACCCGCATGTGTTATCTCTGTCTTAAAACTTTAAGTGCATAACATAACAAATTTTACGTTCAGCAGATCACGTTTAGCTCCATATTAGTTTAAAAATTGATTGATTTGACCTCTTATAATATTTAAAGGTAAGAGATTTTAATTTAGAAACGAATTATAAATATATTTAGATGTAGAAATAATTTACAATTTTAAAATACTAACAACTTGCTTCAAAATTAAAATATAACAATGAGCCAATAAGGTCATTTAAGCAATACTCTTACATTTACATTTTATAAGATACCAATTCACTACAATGTTTAAACTAACGGACCTAAAGCTAAACGTGATCTACTGAGCGTAAAATTTGGTATTATGACTGCATTGGCACATAGAGGTATTTTAAGAGCACATGCAGTTAAAAAAATAGCCGGTAAGTGGGTATCACTCTGCTGTACATTGGGGGTGGGGTGGACCTCTGTCTAGGGTAGGTTAAATTTGAATGCAATGATAGGTATTATTGTATACGAAAAACGATTCTGAACGGAGATGGTTTATCTGTCTAGGATATATTATAGATTATTAAAAATTTTCAAATCTTAGATTTAAAAAGAAAATTTTTTATGAAATTCTAGCTTAAAAT